AAATTTATGTTGATGATATCATATTTGGTTCAACTAACCCTCATTTTAGTGAAAAGTTTGGAAAGCTAATGTTAGAGAAGTTTGAGATGTCTATGATGAGTGAACTCAAGTTCTTTCTTGGTTTGCAAATCAAGCAAACTAAGGAGGGTACCTTTGTCTCCCAAACAAAGTATACCAAGGACTTATTCAAGAAGTTCAACATGCAAGAATGCAAAGGTATGAATACACCCATGCCTACTAGTGGTCATCTCGACTTGACTAAGGATGGCAAACCGGTTGACCCAAAGGTTTGCCGCTCTATGATTGGTTCATTTTTATATCTATGTGCCTCCCGACCCGATATTATGCTAAGTGTGTGCATGTGTGCACGATATCAAGCGGCCCCCAAAGAATGTCATCTTAAGGCTGTGAAAAAGATAGTGAGATACTTAATTCATACACCAAATTTTGGCATTTGGTATCCTAAGAGGTCCTCTTTTGATCTTGTTGACTACTCTGACTCGGACTATGTCGGTGACATGGTTGATAGAAAGTCCACTTTGGGTACCTATCAATTTCTTCGTAGATCTCTTGTGTCTTGGTATCCAAGAAACAAAACTCGGTATCCTTATTCACCGCCAAAGCGGAATACATTGCCGCTGGTTCATGTTGTGCTCAATTACTTTGGATGACCCAAACTCTTACAGATTATGGGATACATGTGAAACATGTCCATTGCTTTGTGATAATGAAAGTGCTATTAAGATTGCTCACAATCCCATGCAACATTCTTGAACTAGCATATTGAAGTTCGTCATCATTTCATTCGAGATCATGTTGCTAAAGGAGACATTGACCTTAAGCATGTTCGTATCGATAAGCAATTGGCGGATATATTCACAAAACTGCTTGATGAGAAAGTATTTTTCCGCTTAAGAGGTGAATTGAACATTATTGATGCCTCAAACTTGGAGTAGGAACTCCATTTGGATGCATGCAAGGCATGAGCCTTTGACTAATCCTTGATATTTCTGATGATGATCATATGTCTTGGATCTACACTTTTACCCTTGTATGCTATCTAACCCTTGTAGGTACTTGGATGAGCTCGAATTCATGAGATTGCAACTCACTCACATCTTGAGCAATCTCTACATCACCAAGTCTCTACAATATGGTGGTTGAAGACAAGGAAGCATGAAACCTTTCAACATATCCTTTGACAAATTCTATATATCAAATTTCATTTGGTATCAAATTTCATGATTATCACTTTGGATACACAAGTGATCTTCCTTGCAAGACTAACCCATGTAGGTAGATGAACTCAAACTACAAGTGGTGCTCGCAACTCATTAATGAGCTACATCAACCTTGAGCGTCCCACACAACTTCAACTACATGATCAAGATCAACACCACCACCCAAGGTATGTTATTCCATCTTAGAGAAGCTTTACCCCAAGTCATGGGTCAAAGCAGCTCAACAAGATGTGAATACATCAAAATGCTTAAACGAAAAATGGAAACCCCATTTTGAGCTTAAACAATGAGTATGACCTATGATCAAGTGATCTCACTTGACCTCTCAGTCAATATACTCTAACATAGGTGACTTTGTCGCCGACCAACTCTAGATGAAGTTCTCCAGTGTTTTCTATGTCCTTGCATTTGTCTTTTGCATGTTTGTTTCCCTCTTCATCTAGATTTATTCTCCTTTCTCTATTTTGTTCTACATTCCCAGCATCCAATTCATTGCAAATCTTTCAGTAAATTCCCTGCAAATCTTTGTGAGATCTTATTTGCCTAGTGAGCTGAGATGACAATTGTGTTCTCTTTCTGCTGAATTCGGCCTCACTTGTTTGTTTCTTTCAGCTGAACTGAAAACAACTAGGTGCCACCGAAGAAAAGGACTCGGTGTTGCCGATTTCAATGCTGAGAAAACACATTGTCATTTGCATCCTGCGTATTTGTTCCAGCTCCACTCAATGATTATTGTCCTCTAACGACATCTTATATTACATGTTGCTTTGTAATGTGACTCAAGGACCAAACCTACTTGACTCTTGCTCCAGAAGATCTCTTCTTGGAAATTGATGTCAAAGGGGGAGAGAGCACATCAAAGCTTATCACATATGAGAGAATGCACTCCTTAAGCTTCTCCAGATGCTTTTACCCATAGAGGAGAGAAGTCACATGTCCTCAATAGGGGAAAGACATGTTAGCATGTGTTAAGTTTGTTATGTTTGTTTTGCTCTGATTTTCTTTTCCCTATCTTCTCCCATTATCCAATATCATATTTAGGGGGAGAAAGACATCTAAAGGAAGGAAATCTTCGAATTCATTGCATATCTTTACTCTTTGGGGACATGTCTATATCAAATAGAGTACTGAGTACTCACTCTCTACATGTCGTCCCAATCTTGGTACTCTTGTGGTTTCTTAAATTCCTTTGTCCAGTAGGTGTTCATGTGTTATCTAACCTTGTTTACTCAGGTTCATCTCTTCCAAAGCTACCTCAAGACCACAAGGTAAGTATATGCATCACATCCATGTGCATGATGATTTTATTGCTAATGTACATATTGTTTGCAAGAAGAAATCATGAACATATGGAGGTACATTTCCTATAGCTACATCATTGGCTCTGATGCACATAGCCAAGATACATGTAACTCATTGCTTGCTCTGTCATGGTCATGCATTGACATGCTCTTATATTCATATTCACATGATTGCATACATGTAGGGGGAGCATATGCATGTTACATGTCTTTCCAAAGCTTTACTTGTCATTCTTCACATCTTTATCTAAAGTTTTGATGTATGTTGTCATCAATTACCCAAAAGGGGGAGATTGAAAGCACAAGTGCTCCCTGGGTAATTTTGGTAATTAATGTCAACATATCTCTTGTTGGACCAATACTTTTATCTAGTATATTTCAAAGAGTTCAACAAAGGCGTGGCATGGACAAGAGGATGTGGAACCCCTTCAAGATGCTAAGGACAAATGTTGGCAAAAGCTCAAGACTCTACATTTTCATTTTAGTGATCCAAGATCACATTGAGTCCATAGGAAAGCCAATAAGGGGGTGAGGTGTTGCTTAATGGATTGCTTGCTCAAAGTGCTTAGTGATATGATCAAAAGCCCTCAACCACTTTCTCATTTCCACATATGTCCCAAACCTAAAGTCAAACTCGGCCCCACTGATTTGATCTATCCGGCGCCACCGAGTTCACTTGACATAGCCACTACCAGAAACCGTAATCAGTTCGGTCTCACCGATAGGTAGGTCTCACCGAGATGGGCTTGCAAACTCTCTGTTGCCTGTTGCAATTATCTCGGTCCCATCGAGATATGTAATCGGTCCCACCGAGTTTGCTTGACCAACTCTCTGTTTTTCTTATTACCAAAATCGGTCTCACCGAGTTTTTGTAATCGGTCAAACCAAGTTGAGGTTTTACCCTAACCCTAGCACATCGGTCCCACCGAGTTGATCATATCGGTCCCACCGAAAACTCTAACGTTCACATTTTGAACCATATCGGTCTGACCGAGTTTCTCGATTCGGTCCCACCGAGTTTGATGAATTGTGTGTAACGGCTAGATTTTGTGTGGAGGCTATATATACCCCTCCACCCATCCTCCATTCATGGAGAGAGCCATCAGAACATGCCTACACTTCCACTACTCATTTTCTAAGAGAGAACCACCTACTCATGTGTTGAGACCAAGACATTCCAATCCAACCACAAGAATCTTGATCTCTAGCCTTCTTCAAGTTGCTTTCCACTCAAATCATCTTTCCACCATATCCAAATCTGTGTGAGAGAGTTGAGTGTTGAGGAGACTATCATTTGAAGCACAAGAGCAAGGAGTTCATCATCAACATGCCATCTATTACCTTTTGAAGAGTGGTGTCTCCTAGATTGGTTATGTGTCACTTGGGAGCCTCCGTCCAGATTGTGGACTTGAACCAAGGAGTTTGTAAGGGCAAGGAGATCGCCTACTTCGTGAAGATCTACCCAAGTGAGGCAAATCCTTCATGGGCGATGGCCATGGTGGGATAGACAAGATTGCTTCTTCGTGGACCCTTCGCGGGTGGAGCTCTCCGTGGACTCGCGCAACCGTTACCCTTCGTGGTTTGAAGTATCCATCAACATGGATGTACGATAGCACCACCTACCGGAACCACGCCAAAAATCTCCGTGTCTCCAATTGCGTTTGCACACTCCAATCCCATCCCTTACTTTCTTGCAAGCTGCATGCTTTATTTTCCGCTGCTCATATACTCTTGCCATGCTTGCTTGAAATGTATTGTGAATGTTTAAACTTGTGCTAAAACTCCACCTTAACTTGAAGAAATTAAAAACTGCTACTTTTCTTTGTTGAGGGTCTAATCACCCCCCTCTAGACACCTCTTCTCGATCCTTTCAACCGCGGGGGGACAGGGGCTTACCTTTTCAGGCCGTCCTCTCGATCGCACTAGTGGGAAGCCGGCCGCCCACTATACGTGTCCTATTAAAAGTGGAGGAACGAACAAATAAAAAGAGAAAAAATAGAAGTGAAAGAAAAAACATTGAAAAAAATCACATGTTGTTGTCATGTGCGGTAATATTTACTTATATCTCATTTAGTAATAAGAGAAATCCTACCTTTCATCCGACAAATGAAGCCGCACGCATCGACCGCCTCCATGGCCATCCGATCTATTTTGATCAGACGACTCGCAGCCATCTCCAACCTTTGCAACTTGACCCATGTTGCAATGCAAGGAGCGCAACAAGGTGCTTGTTGCAAAGGTTGGTTGCCATGTCCATCACGCGCTAGCCTCATAGGCGATGGCTGGTCTTCGACCACTGCCAACAAGGCCCCGCCCACGTGCACCTCCTCTTCTCTTGTTCATCGCCGTCGGAGTCGCCCTGCATTGCGCCACCATGGAGCTTCGCTGCGCGTGTCTCAACCTAACAACCGAGCCTGACTGAGCGCCTTTGCCTATAGGTCATCGTCATCGAGAGCCTTCATGTTGGAACTCTGCTGTCAAACTCTTCCTTGGTGACCAAGTCGATGGATCCGGTGAGATCCACCACGCTGACAAGGAGTGCCGCCAACCTCACCTCGTCCTCATGTGCACGTGAGTTCCTCCATTGCGGCGCGTCCAGATTGCAAACAAAGGACGTGTCGAAATTGCAACATGCCTCTTGTTGCAATGGGACGGGACACATGTGAGCCAAAGATGTTTTTTTACAACAAGGGTTTTGTTACAGTTACAAACATGTGCCTTCTTGAAATTGGAACGCGGCTCTTGTTGTAATGGGACAGGACATGCATGAGCCAAAGATATTTTTATGTTTTGCAACAAGGCTCTTTTTGCGCGAGTCGCATATACCTTTTCGCAGCAAGGCTTTTGCTGTAGGATTTCTAAGAAAATCACGCTCGTGTTGAAGAGGAACCCAGTGTGTTTGCGCTATAGAAAATATAGGAACTCATGAGGCATACAATTTCTAAGAAACTAGACTTAACAGGAAATTTCTTTCTAATTGAGGGCAAAGTGATCCTTAAATACACCTCCTACCCAAATAAATACAATAGATCGCATGTCAATATAGAGGGGGACTGCAGCCACACATACATTTGCCCCTAAATGAAGAAAAACAGTTGTCGCGATCATCCACACCTGTATTTCAACACGAAGCAAAGAAAACAAAACAAAACAAAACAATCTGTCACTCGAGCAAAGAACTAACATGAGCTGAAGGCCCCTCAGCTCCCGACGTGGCCTCCTCCTCCCCGTCGCCGGGCAATATGAGGATCGGGCTTCGCACGATGTGCTTGCTGGAGACCCACTTGAGCTGCCCTTCGACGGCGCCTTCCGGCACGGCCGCCGCCTTGACGGAGACCGTGTAGTTCAAGACCTCGTCCAGCTCCTTGAACTCCAGCTTCGTCGGCGTCACTTCCACCGTCACCGATTTCGGCACCTCAACCTCCATCTCGTACGTCGAGCTTGCCACACCGACGTTGGTCACCGCGCGGGTGGCGTTCACGGTGGTGTCTGCCTTGTCGATGATGATGGTGATCGACGGGTAGTTGAGGTCCTTCTCGCCGATCTTTGTTATCTTGGTGCAGTCCACCGCCGGCTCCGGGTGGATGATCGAGTTCACCTGCTGGTCCGTGTAGTTGAGCCCGCACAGGTAGGGGACGTAGTCCGACGCCGACAGGTTGTACACCAGCCCCGGGTCCATGGCTTTCTTCGGGTTCACGTGCCCGGCGCCCGTGGCAAAGTACGTCGCCTGCGTGCCGTCCACGTCGGCGAACGGTTTCTTCTTGTTATCGGTGGTTTCGGTGGTCGTCATCAGCGCCGACTTGATGGCGGCGGGCGACCACGTCGGGTGCGCGTTCTTCAGCAGCGCGGCGACCCCGGCGAGGTGCGGGCACGACATGGACGTGCCGGACTTGACGTCGAACTTGGGCATCTCTGCTTTGGGCGGCAACACCAAGTCCGCGATGCCGGGGACGCCCGCGAGTATGTTCACTCCCGGGCCGATGATGTCAGGCTTTAGAATCCCCCGGCTTTGCAGGTTCGGCCCCCGCGCCGAGAAGGGCGCCATCATCGGCGACCGCGGGGTGTCGAACGACGTTCCTTTCAAGATGAAGTTCGCCGTGGCTTCTTTCTCGGACTGCACGTAGGTCTTGAGCTTCTGCCCGACTTTGTAGGGCACTTGCACCGTCGGGACGACGTGGGGCCTCGGGATGATCACCGGGCCAAACACCTCAGAGGTGACGACGATCATGCCGAACCCTCCGGCCTTTTCGACCATTTTGGCCTTGGTGGTGCTAGGGGTGCCGCCAGTCTCGCAAATGACGATCTTCCCGGTGACGTTCTCCGCACTCAACACGGTGTCGCTGGTGCACTTACCGTCGCCCACGTCGCGCGCCAACGGCCGCAGCTCCTTCCCGTAGTCCTTGACTTCGCTGAGCGACTCGCCGTCAAGTTCATCTCCACTGCCAAGCTTCACGGTGGCCGCGAACCGCCTGTCGGTGGTGCTCGCCCCCACGGTGAGAAGCCAGGGTGCCCCGTTGGCGACGGTTGCCGGGTTCGGGCCGATGTTGCCAGCCGCCGTGCTGACGAACACGCCGTTGAGGGCAGCGGTGTATCCGGCGAGCGAGACGGGGTCCTCCGAGAAGTCAGCGTCCGGGTTCCCGCCAAGAGACATAGAGAGCACGTCGACGCCGTCCTCGATGGCATCGTCGACCGCCGCGAGTATGTCATCCCGGTCGCAGCCCTTCTGCTCGAAGCACACCTGGTAGAAGGCGATGTGCGCGCGGGGCGCCATGCCGACCGCCGTGCCCACCGCGAGGCCGGATATGTTGGCGTCGGGCACGAACGCGCCGGCGGCGGTGCTGGACGTGTGCGTCCCGTGCTGGCCCTCGTTGATCGGGAGCACCGGGTCGTCGACGCCCTTCCACTTCCACTTGGCCGACTCGAAGAAGGACCGCGCGCCGATGAGCTTGTTGTTGCACACGGTGTTGTTGAAGTCGCACCGGCCAGTCCACTTCTTGGGCGGCGGCTTCATCCCCTCGCCGTCGAACGACGGGTGGCCGGCGTAGATGCCGTCGTCGAGGACCCCGATGATGATGCCCTCGCCCATGTTGCTGGTGTTCCAGACGCCTTCCCCGGCGCGGTCCTCGCCCATGAGCCCCAGCATCTTGGGCGTGTGCGTGGTCATGAGGTGGTACGTCTTCTCAGGATAGGCCTTATAAAACCAGTCCTTCTTTTTCATCTCCTCCAGCTCCTCCACCGTGAGACGGGCGGAGAAACCATTGACGACGTTGCGGTAGGAGTATAGGAGCCGGGTGACGGAGGAGGGGTCATTCTCCATCGCCTCCTTGGCCATGTCGCACACCTCGGCCAGGAGCGACGCGTGCCAGCTCGACGTGTTCTTGTACAGCTTCGTGTCGTACACGTACGGGCTGCGCACGATGATGAGGAAGTTCTTGTGCAGGCCGGTGTCATTGCCATGGGGGCCATGGCTCGCCGCCGGGGTCGCAGCTACGCACAGGAAGAGGAGGACGGAGGCGACGCGGAGGGCGAGACGCGGCGGCGAGCATCCTCCATGGATTCGATTGTCCATTTGGGTCTAAGGAGAATGATCAGAGGAGGGAGTTGCGCGAGGTAGCGTTACATATGGGGAGTTTGCTCTTGTGATCTCTAAAGATGGAACGTAGCCTTCTGTGGTCAGACGGCGAGATGGCTTAATAAAGATAGCAAAGGCATGCAATAATTGGGGAGGCTTTGCTCTGACCAGAAGTTCAATTAGACTCTGTGTTTTCATTTCAGGGCTTTTCTTGTAGAGGAAATGAAGGAGAGACTAGATGCCTTGAAATGAAGCTGAAAGTAGGCGACTACGAATTTCCCCCATGATTTTGCTAAATGCAGGTCAACTAGATTTTTTTCATGCGTTGATTACTCTGTTTTGATGTCCGTGCAAGACAGAGGAAATCAAAACTAGATCACATGTCTAGCACCATCGTCTTTCTTTTTCTGCCTGTAAAACAGAGAGCTTGATTCAGGTAAAAGCATTCTTTGAACAATCAGTCAAGAGGCCGGTCATTAAAAAGTTGGGAATTTCATCAAGATGGCCCCCGGTCACATTCAACGTATAAGCATGCACAAAGATGTGGTAAAAGGCTTGTTGACCTGTTTACATACTGAATGTCAAAAGGAGAGAAAACACTAGCAAGCTCTCCTATTTCTAACAGGATAGAAGTCACAATTGAACAAGAGGCAAGTGTTATAGTGTCTCCAACTCCGGGCAGTTCATCTCCATTATCACATGCGAGAATCATCGAAGTGTTGCGAAACGAACACCATCGCACCGTGAAAAGGTTTCAGGTATCAATGGGCCAGAAATATCCATGTACGGTTTACACCATGCACCAAGCATGGCCGAAGAAGAGCGTGCAACCCCTCCCGCACCACCCGACCATCAGCAAAGTTTAAGGAGCCGCCGGTGTTGATCTTGATAATGCCCGGATCAGGGGACGCCGGCTGAAGCCCAAGCCCGACAAGACAACAAGGGTCTTCCGAGCGCAAAGTCATTTTGCGCAGTTGCGCTATATGCCGGTTCATCCGAGAGCACTCATTTCTGCTGAGATTCGTGCAGGTGTATGGTCCATCTAGATGCATAGTGCTAGCATATTTTTTGTATCTTTTCTTTTAGTCAAAACGGTGTCAGTTTAATGGGCACAAGGTACATTTTTTGTCAGAGAAGGTACGCATGCAACTCTCTCGTCTCTCTACCCACAGAACAAATCCATAGACTTTTTTCTCATCATATATAGTAAAATCAACAATATCTTTTAAACTAGGGAAAATTTCATTTATGCCCCTAACTGGAACTCACTACTCAAATTTACCCCTAATTTCAATATGTGATCAAATTTGCCCATCTGCCATTAGTTGCCCTTATAGCAATGCCCTTATGCGCTGTTATCGTCCGGTCAAACAACTTTGACCATCTCGAAAAAATAGCAAACAAAATTAAAAAAAAATCTAAAATTTTGAGGGATCAAAGATACTCAGGTGGGCAAGGTGCGTGCAAATTTTTGTGCTATTTAGACATATCAGGAGCTCGTGGCAAAGGAAAACAATAAATCTATACATCTTTGAATAGTAAATTAAAAAATAGCAAGAAAATTCAAGAACATATGAAATTTTTTGGAATCCAAGATGCTCGGGTGCGCAAGGTGTGTGCAAAATTTTGTTATCAAATGACTTGCAAGGAGCTCTAGCAAAAAAAGCAAAATAGTGTATTTTCAAAGTTTTTTTTCGAGACAAATTTTGTTTTTTTCTCCACGAGCTCCTACAATGTCCGAACACAACAAGATTTTGCACACACCTTGCGCACATGAGAATCTTGGAATCCCAAAATATTCATATTTTTTTGAATTTTCTTGCTATTTTTTTGAATTTACTGTTCACAGGCGCACATATTTATTGTGTTTCCTTTGCCACGAGCTCCTAAAATGCCCAAACAACATGAAAATTTGCACGCACCTTGCGAACATGAGTACCTTCAATCCCACAAAAAATCATTATTTATTTATTTATTGGTATTTGTAAGGGTATATTTCTCCCTATGTGGTTTTGGTGATTGATGACAGTGCATTTGCGGACTAATCGTGTGCGTTGAGCATTTCAGATATCTCATGTCTAGGCACAAGACGATTCGGTGCCCCTCGGAACCTATCGAAGACGGCGGTTCTCTAAGTTTCTTTTCGGTGGATTTGAGTCATAGGAAAGTTGTACTATTAGAAGGGGGTCCGCTTCGAAAAGGTTAAGGTGGAATCAACACGTACACATATGTTCCTTTGCACCACCTTTCCTTCGCTTCAATGGAGCACCATCTGTTTATTCTTGTCTCTGCAATATAAAGGGTGCCAAGTGCTATAGTCTCTGTGGCGTGCGGTAGAGCAGTAGTACCGCAGGGGTCCGCGATAGTACCGCTCAGGCAAGCGGTAGTACCACACCAAGCGGTAGTACCGCTCCTCGCGAGCGGTAGTACCGCTGCCTCCAGCCCAGACACTGGCGCATGCGGAAGTAGGCGCGGACGTAATTTTTTACTTCCGCCCCCACGTGGTAGTACCGCTCCCTGTGAGCGGTAGTACCGTGTCGGACTTTTTCACAGTCCTAAACTCAGCGGAAGTAGTCATGGAAGTAATTTATTAATTCTGTGCATCTTCCTGCACTAGTACAGCCCGGTAGTACCGTAGGGGCGCGCGGTAGTACCGCTCCGACGGTTCTATCGCCCCTTGCCTAGTGCAACAGGACCTCATCTGGCCTCTACCGCACGAGCGGTAGTACTGTCGTGGTTCTAAGTCTGACAGTAATGTAGGGGGGTAGGTATGGAGAGGCAAGATCTTAGCTATGGAGTAGTTGTAAGCACACGAGGTTTACGAGTTCAGGCCCTTCTCGGAGGAAGTAATAGCCCTATGTCTCAGAGCCCGGAGGCGGTCGACTGGATTATGTGTGTATGAATTACAGGGGTGCGAACCCTTTACACTGAGGAGGGGGTGGCTTATATAGAGTTCGCCGGACCCCTCCGGCCCTCAGTTATGCAGGGTTTCAAATACATTAAGGTCGGGCGTTACTGGTAACGCCCCTAATAAAGTGCTATGATGACCATAAAAGCTACTTAATGACCGACCGTTAGCGTGCGGAGTGACTTTAGGTCTCCTGGTCGTCGAGTGGTTGGATCTTGGTCGAGTGATTGCTTCTTGGTCGAGCGTCTTCGAGTCCGTCGAGTGGAACACCTCCAAGTCGATTGAAAGGTGATTTCTTCTAGAGATGTCCTTGGGTAGGGCAGTTAGGACATGTCCATGACCCTACCCTAGGTACATAGCTTCATCATTAGCCCCCGAATGGATCGAGGTTTGAGTGGGGAAGGAGTTGAGAACTTCTCTGACTCATTTTGCATGCCATGAGCATATCTTGTTTCGGATCAATGAACCTGAGTGATGACAGCAACTTCTTTTTCAGTCGCCTTGATCCATTCTTTGTTTTCTGTCGAGTGAGTTTCTTTACTTGAAAAGCTCCGAGCGACGGTGTGGAGGAGATCTTCCGTCTGACAAGTTGTTCTGCTGCCCGCAGATTTTGCGGGATTCGAATTTTGGGAAGCTCACGGGACGGGGGAGGCCGCAGTAATCGGATGGGATAGGGCGGAGCCGCCTCGATCTCTCCACCACCTTTTTCGCCACGTATCGCGCGCGCGATTGTTACGGGATTTGACAGGATCATCCGGGCCTACCAGTCAGCCACTCGGAAGCGACCTCATATAAGGCGTCGGACCGGGGTTTCTTGAACAGTGCGTTCTCATTTTCTCTTCTCCTCTTCAGGCTTCTTCGTCGCGCTCGCTCTAGCCCTAGCGCCGCCGCTCTGTACGCGTCTCGCCGGCGACGATGGGGAAGGAGAAGACGGCGGCTCTGGAGCGGGTGAAGAAGGCGACGGCAAAGGCGAAGGGGAAGGCGACTAGTCGGGGTGGATCTTCCTCACGGACCGGCTTGCCGAAGGGCTGGATCCAGGGCGACTGGATCCGCTCGGCGATCTGCCAAGAAGACCTCGACGACCTAGCCGACGGAGGACTGATCCCCCATGGATCGGCGCGGCTTCCAGGGAAGGAATCTGAGCCACAACCTCGGGAGGGTGAGCGCGTTCTCCTTGCCACCCACGTCGACCGTGGATTTTCCTTGCCTCATCACCCTTTCTTTCGGGGATTTCTGAATTTCTTTGGGGCACAACTCCACCACTTCACTCCCAACACAATCGTTTATCTCGCTGCTTTCGTGTCTTTGTGCGAGAATTTCTTGGGTTGTCAGCCTCACTGGGGTCTTTTCAAGCACATTTTCACCTGTCGTTCTCAGACGGTGAAAAAGGCCAATCCGAGTGACGAGAGAACACAAGTGATTCAGATGTGTGGGGATCTTGGTGTTCAGATGAGAGGGAAAAGTTCCTTTCCGGCCATGATTCTTCCCGACTCGGTCCGCGGATGGCAGTCGACCTGGTTTTACTGCAAAGACCAACCGACGCCAGGGCAGTCGACTGGCCTCCCTCCTTTTACCATGGACCGAGTGAGGAAACCCTCCTCTTTGAAGGTGCTCCCAGAGGAGAAGGCGCAAGTTAGGGTGCTGGTCGAACGAGTGGTCCAGCTTATCCGTGACGGGGTCACTGGTATGGATCTCTTGGAGGTTTTCCTTCGGCGGTGCATCCAACCTCTTCAAGCTCGAGACCATCCGATGTGGATGTATTCGGGTCTTGACGACACCACTCGGATTCACCCGGAGGAGGTCGATGACGACACACTGGAGGGGTGGCTGTCAGGCATCACCGGAAACAAGG